CAATCGTCATTAGGGAATTTGAGAGGGATCACAGTTTGTCACGACAATGCATAAGCCTTGTTTTGAGCCAAAGGCAATTAGCTCTCTGCCCTCCACCTTTTTTGTCCAAAAGCAGGGCAAAAGATCCCTTTGTAAATGTGTCTCCGTCTCCTATACCAAGAAGAGAACCACTCTGGAGACAATTCTTATCTGCAAAACAAACCACCCTTATTTATCATACATTTCCTAGCCACCCTCTCAGAACTCACTGTCATGCCAGAAGCCCGCCTTTCCTTAGTCTAGCCCCTTTCCACACTGTATCACCCTTTGTTAAGATGATACAGAAGTCCGCAATTCTAACCATTTCCTTGAATCGCATTTCTTTGTGAACTCCCATGCATACATAGGTAATTAATTTTTTTCTCCTGTTAATCTATTATCAGTTTGATCTTCAGGCCCAGCCAATGACCCTAAGAGAGGAGAGGAAGATGATTTTTTTCCTTCCCTACATATTCAAGATTAGTCTTTACGTTATGTAGTGGAACCACCTCAAATATTTTAGAACAATTAGGAGGCATAAATATTAAAAGTGTTAAGTGCTATGCATCAAATTAAATTCCAGGCAGTAGTGCACGTAATTTTGAATGCTTAAAAGAACCATTATTCTTATAATGGAGACATGGAAAAACATGGTATCCAAACCCACTTGGACTCTGGGTCAAAGGAGCAAGAATTTTGAAAGTTTTGCTATTTAAATTTTGGTAATTTTTTCGTGATACATATACCACACTCCTAAGGAGTCATTATAGAGTTCCTGCTCTCTGTAGCTGATGGTATAATATTTCAGGCTGGGGAGTGGAGGTAAGGTGGGGCAGAGGTACATTTAATTTAAACAAAAAAGAGATATATGTACACATATTGCTGATTCACTTTGCTGTACAGTAGAAACTAACACAACATTGTAAAGCAACTACACTCCAATAAAAATTTTAAAAAATTAAAAAATAAAAAAAAAGTAAATAAGAAACCACCCCCCAATTTTTTTTAAAAAAAGCCTTTCTACCTATGGGATATAATTTCTCACTAATCCAAGGAAACTTCCTCCCCCCCTCAAGCTATTATCCTTACCACACACACCCATGCTCATTTTCTCCTTCTGGCCTTCCCTTAGGTTGAAAAATACCACCTGCCCCATATCTCCACCCAGTACCCTTTCCCCTCTTCCCTGCGTAAACCAAATCTGTGCCATCTTCAAGGCTAGGGGAATCCCCGTCTCCTTCAGGCAGACTTCCTGAAATTCCTCAAACCTTTATCCAGAATTCTTCCTGAACTCCTGTCCAGCCTATTTAATTTATAAGTGCTGCCTCCCCAAATGAGATTAAAGATTCCTCAAGGGCAGTAGCCATTTCTCCTTTTGCTGTTTTGCACAGCAGAGGCACTTAATGAATGCTAATTAAAGTCCGGCTATTTATCAAATACCCACGTGCTTCAAAGTGTGTTAGATGCTGGGGATAAAACAGTGAACTATACGTAGTTCTACCTCCTTCAGGGCACTTACAACAAGCAAAAGCCACAAAGTCCCAGTAGTATTAGGGCCAGTGTTTCGTTTAGCCAGTGTAATGTTCCAACTGCTCTGAATTAGCATAGTTCTAAGCTGGGCATTCACTCTCCAGTTCACAGGACTCTGTACACTCCCTTGTGTCTGGCACCCATACAGCTTCACTAATTTATGTTATCTTCAGCCCCTTGTGAAACATCCTTTATTTCACAACTCTTAATTTATAAGGAATAAATTAATTCTTAAAGTACAGACTCTTCCTATATCAGATACTGACTAGTTATTTATTACTCCCCAAACTTTCAACATTAGAATGCCATTCTATTCATATCACTCTTACTATGGAAAACAGGCTCCAGTTAAAAAAAAAAATTCCAAATCCAAGGCAGATGGTATATTAATTAGAGAAAGAAAACAGAACTGCTCAGCAACTGTTTTGCTTTCTTAAAAGCAAATGATCTTTAAGCTGGAAAGGACAGAAGAAACCTCTTTAAGAGAGAACCAAGGTACAAGCAGAAGTCACTTTAAAAGAATTCACGTCTTCAAAATCTGGTGAATTATATTCCAGGGAGAATTGGCAGATGTAAGCACAGAAATATTCTGACAACCTCAGAAAAACATGGAGAAGGAGGGAAGTCTCAAGAGGCTAGAGACTCAAATACACTTTTTCTCCCTAATTTTTTAAAAATTCAAAACTGAAGGAAAAAAATAGAATTCCTAGGCATTACAAACCAGTTAATTTGATACCAATCTGGCAAAATTCAAGATTTAATCAGAAAACGGGGAATATTTAGGGGGAAAAATACTGGGGATTTCAAGGAACTAGGGGTTTACTAAGAATCAGTAATTTTTAAACTAACATCATTTACTTTTGTGGTAGACCAGAGAATATTCAAGATCTTTAATTTAAGCAAAGCATTTGATTAAAATTATTCCCATAATGTCCTTATGAAGAAGACTGACCTATGGGCTAGAACAGTTTAATCTGAGGGACAGTGCTAGCTGAGTTCAGCTGATTAATTAATTTGTCTCAGCAATGTCTACTGAGGGCCAAATAGATTCCCAACCAGTACTATACTTGGCATTTTCAGTACATTACTTTGAACTCTAACAATTAACTGAAAGGCGGATGTTCCTAACCTCATTTTACTGATATGGAAAAGAAGTTTCTCAAGGTCACAAAGCTAGTAGCCAGGCTCCAAAAGTCCAGGACTTTCTATGTGCCACGGGCTTCTAGATGTGCCACCATGGCAAAAAGACCTGTCCCATGTATTACCAATGACTCGAATGTCTGGTGAACAAACTCACCACATGTGCAGGTGACACAAAATCAGAAGGCAGAGTTAACATGATGAATGCCATAATCAAGATTAAAACACATCTAACAAACTGGAAACTGGAGAGAGGCTTAAAGTAATACAAGACAAGAAAAAAAATGTTCATATTCAAGAAATTTTTAACTGCATAATTAAAGAATGAATAAAGCCTACCTTGACAGCAAAGTGTGTGTGGGGTCGTGGTGGTGAGTATTTTAGTCAACTTTGGTGTATTTACTACAAAAGCCAATTAAAAATTAGATGATTTTCGATAGCTAGTGGGAAGCAGCCACGTAGCACAGGGAGATCAGCTCGGTGCTTTGTGACCACTTAGAGGGGTGTGATAGGGAGGGTGGGGGGGGGAGGGAGACACAAGAGGGAGGGGATATGGAGATATATGTATACGTATAGCTGATTCACTTTGTTATAAAGCAGAAACTAACATAACACTGTAGAGCAATTATACTCCAATAAAGATGTTAAATTAATTAAACCAAAAAAAAAGTAAGAACATCAAAAAGAAATTACATGATTTTGTTTGAAGATAGGAATTCATTGCACTCTGCATTGTTCAGACTAGATTGAATTAATGCATTCAATTTTGGGCTAAGGATCTTTAGCACAGAGAAAGGTCTTAGGTAAGGAAGGAAACATTAAAGTGAATATTATTTGGTGAAGATAACTATCATTTACTGACTTCCGGGCAATTATGCTAAGTATTATGAACATTATCTCATTTGATTCTCACAACAACCCTACAGGTAGATGGAGTATATCATTATTCCCATTTTACAGATGAGGAAGCCAAAGCTCAGGGATCTGAAAGGCTGTCAAGTAAAGGAGACGAAAGTCTTACTCTGTACCACCTAGGCTTTTCATTTCTTAACAGTTTTTTGGTCATAGACTCTTTCAGATGGATGAAAGTTTTAGATCTTCTCTGCTGAAAGATTCTACATATAATTTCACGAGTTGGAGGGCTATTGGCAAAAGTAGGATTAATGAGAAACAGGTCCAAGGAAGCAGTTGTCAGTTCAGTGTAAACAAGGCCTTGCTAACAATAACAGAAAGGAGGGATACCTCACAATGCAGGGAGCTCCCTGTCACTGAAAGTGCTCCCTCAAAGTGTGGCTGGTCTGTTGGGAGTGCAACAGAGGGAATGTTAAAATGGATTGGAGGTTGGCCTGTGATTTTAAAGTACCCTGTTGTTATAAGATTGTGGGCCTAGTAAGTAATTTTTGTTTGATGGCAAAACAAAGAAGTTAAAAACTGAAGTTACTGTTTTAACAGACCATTCTGCTGAATACATCAGGCAGAATACCTAAATGTTAATGTTATTTCCCATCTATATATATGGTACCTATATCAGGTACTTGAAAACAGCCTCATCCAAAAATTAAAGGTATATTCAACTGTTGATCTTGATGTGATTTATACTTTGTCATAATCAAAGTAGACTCCTTATTCCTCTGAATTCTTAACTAAAATGTTCCCTAAGATAAATACCATAAATACCAGATCCTAAAACGATGGGGTCTTTGATGAGAACGTTTACTAGTTTACAATTTTTGTTAACCTAATTCCATAAAGGATGGGGAGGGGGCAGACGGGAAACATAAGAGAAACAAACTCCGATTGTTCTGCTCTGCTTCTCAGATCCCTTCGCTAACAGCTGAAGGATCTTACCGTCAACTCTGCTTTATTTCCCATGTGCATCATAATTCACCTCGAGATTCAGGCTCCCACCGCTCAAAAAGGAGCTCACACTTTGCTCCTGGCATGCCATTCAGAGCACAAGCTTGACAACTTGGCATACAAATTAAGTGTTCATAGGCAAATCTTCTACCTGAAAATCTTTATTCTTCAGGCAGAAAGGATCGGGTGGAAGGTGAAACTGCCAACTCATAAAGCAAAACCTTGAATTTGAGGGCTCAGAACAAGGTGGAAGGAGCGGGGGCTAAGTTCTTTAATTAGGAGCCGAGCCGGAGGCACTGAGGCTCTAGCCGAGGCAGCTGGCCGAGAAAGGTCCGGTTTAATCAAAGCCTCCTGTAACTCACAGGTTTCTGCCACTGAAAATCAAAAAAGGCAAAACTGACGAGCAGAGACCTACGGACACACACAGGTCGCCCACCTCCCAGGTGTTCACTTACTCTGCACGTCTGCGGGCAGCTGCGCGCCCCTCGGGCGTCTGGACGGCGGCGGGGACCGAGCAGGCATCCGGCGCTCCTGCAGCTCCGGGGCCGGCGCTGCCCCGCAGTGGGTCGGCGTCTGGGCGGGCGGCGAGCTGAGGCCCGGGCCAGAGCGGAGTGCGGTCCAGCTGCAAGGGCAGCGCCGCCGCCTTCTCACCAGCGGCCGGCTCAGTCAAGTGGCAGCATTTGGAGGACGGGGTGTCCTTCGGTCGCGCTCCGGGCTCCTTCGGTCGCGCTCCGGGCTCCTCCTCCCGCCGCCGCGCCCGCCGCGCGCTCCTGGCGGGTTCGCGCCCCGCACCCGGGCGACCGGCCCCGCAGGTGGCGGCCGAGGGCGTTCGGCTCCACGGCGCGTCCTCCGCGGGCCGCACTCGAGTAACGGGCGGCGGGAGCAGCCACGGTCACGTCCGCAAGCGCCGGTCCGGGGCAGGGGCGGAGCTGGCCCGTGAAGCTGCTGGGTCGGGCCACCGCCCTCACGGCCACCCTAAATACACTACCCAGACTGCGGTCATTCCCCAGCCCGGCAGGAATTAGACCGCCAAATTTCGAAGAAAACAAAAGCGAGCAAGTCACTTCACTTCCCTGGCCCCTGACGGAGCCCCCTGGGCTGCTAACCGTCCTGGGCTCTGCCCAGGTGAGAGGAGGTGCTGGTGTCTGGGCGGGGGCCTGCCGTGGGGTGAACCGGTGCTCGCGGCCCCCGCGCGGAGCCCATGTGCAGGTGAACTCGCGGCAGCCTCACCGAGGCCTTCCCAACTAGGGGTTCCGGCGCCCGGGTCCACGCTTAGCAGCCAAACCCGCTTTGACCTAAAACTCCACGCGGTTCAGGCGTAGGTCAGGGACTCTTCCCTTCCTAAACTAGCTTGCACCCTGAGTATGCAGAGCAAAAGCGCTTGATGTAATTTTAAAAGGACACATTCATCTGGTACTTCTCTATCCAGAAATACTGAAGAACATTTTCCAAGCATGTTTCTCCTTAAAACACCACTAACAAAACATCCTTTTCTCGCTTTTTTTTTTTGGCACTGAAGTCTCTATCTCAAAACATGGCCATTATTCAGTTGTGTTTCCTTTCGCATTCCACGTGATGCCTGTATCTTTCCAGCATGATTCCTAGCAATAGTAAAAGCCCCAAGAGAACTACAAAAGAACCATTATTTTAGTTGTGTTCTACAATGGATTAATCATGCAAAATTCACGCTTGAAGAGACGGTGGTGATAACTTCACCTGACTGCTTTACATTACAAGTGAGGACACTGAAGCCCAGAGTCCAGTGGCAAAACTAAATGTGAAAAAGAAAGACTGGAACCTCCACAGCTCACAGTCTGTAGACTAACATGAGGGTTAGCTCTCTAAAGGTATAACACAGTAAAGAATATGCTTAGATTGCAGAGGGATTGAGAAGCATAAATTATACAAAATCTAGTTCAGATATTTTTAGACTTTAAATGAATCAAACATTTCTATTTATTACTATGCTTAAATTAACTAAGGCAACTTTTATGTACAGACAGTAGCTCAGAAATGTAATTTTGCTTCATGATAATATTAATGGATTGGAGTAGGCACATTCTGACAATCATAGAATGTGAATATACTTATATTAACTGTTTTGTCTGATCATTATCAATTTCTAATGTACTCCAGTTGACTATACTAAGATAAACAAGTATTTAGTTCTATATATTTCAGGCATATCATGCTAAATAATTATGATCAAATGCAAGGTTCCACCTTTAGGCCTAATTCTTCACTGAAGGTATCACTGCTTTCCCTCTCCCTTCGCACTTTAAGCTTTTACCAACCTAGTACTGCAATGATCCATAAGAGACCTCTGGGTTCCACACTGAGAGATCAGTATCAGTCTATGACGTGCTCAAGGTGAGAAAAGAGAAACTTAAAAATCTGTACTTTTACTTCCCAGTTATCAGAGCAGTAAAGGGCGAAGAATGAGTCTCTGGCGTCCACCAGAAAAGAAAGACCTTTTGAACACGTACATTCCTGTGTCTCACACAGTTCAGAGATAGGCTGTATCATCTTTACCAAGTATTAGTTCCCTGCGTCGGCCAGACTCAGGCCAGGCCCTTCCTCCACCATCCCGGGTCTGGCCAAGACGGAGAAAAACCCAGGAGCAGCCCTCTCCTCTCCCTGCGAGTCTTCCCGGGCCGGTACCTCACAAGGACCCCGGGTCTGGGGCGGTGCTCAAAGGCTGCGCCGCGAAAGGCAAGGCTTCGCAGGGGCTCCTGGGCGGCTGGGTAGGCTTACCAGGCACTTCGGATGAACTTGGCCACAGAAGATGCTTCTCCAAGCTCCTCCGAGAGACGGCCTGCTTCCAGCCTTAGGACATCAAAAGGTGACCGGGTCCTTGGCCTCTCCTCAGGACCCTATGCCGTACTTCCGGTCAAGATGGTACCGCCTGTTAAGCCCCGAGGGAAGATGCCTCGGGGAAACGTGGCGCCCTCTGCTGCCGGAGCCCAAAATGCTGGCTTTCCTCTCAGGCACCCAGCCAGGAGCTGGGAGTCAGGGCCCCATCGTTTCTGCCCTCCTATTATCCTCTCACCCTGGCTGCAGCAAGAGCGGAGGAGGTGGGTACACAGAGCTCCTCAAACCGATGGTGGCAGAGACCGACTGTAGGGTTTTGAAGGTGTGCGGAATACTTTTAAAAAGCTGGAGAGTAAAGTGAGAGAGAGCGGGAAGGACCCTGAAGAGGGCCTAATTCGAACGTGGTTAAGGTGAGGGTGCCTGCGCGATAGCAGTGTTTAACGTATTTTCTTTTTACCAGAAGAGCATGGAAAATAAAAATCATAAAACCAGTGATGAGAAAATACTAGAATTTGAACACAAGTGATCTGACACCACAGCCCATGCTGTTGACAGGGACGAGGTATACTGAGCTGGATTGAGGACTGCATGCCAATAGTAAACCTGCAATTAATAGGATTAAATCCAGGCGCCCCCCGCCCCATACACTTTCCCTCCTAAAGAAATCCCATTTCCACTCCCAGCGCCCTAAAACTTCCACTTCCACTCCAGACAGGTCAGAGAGAGGGAGGTAGCTGACCCTCTCCACTGGTTTTTCTACTTAAACACTGAGAACCTCAAACTTCCATTTCTGCTTCAAGAGGACCAGTCAAAGCATACACCTCTGGGAGAAGCATGGAGGGCATGCCAGCCAGGTGGAGGGAACCTCCTCTTGAAAAGAACTCTAAGTAGTGAAATGATGAGACTCCGTCAGAAGGGATCTGGGCCCTGGGACTCACCTCTCTGCCACTAGGGCTCTTCCTAGCATATCAGTCAAATGCCATCTGTTTTCTGATAGTGAAGTGATGAGGACAGGATAGGTGGATGGAAGAATCTGGGAGTGTTCACGCAGAGGCAAGAGCATGTAAGAGAGTTATGAAAGTCACAGAAAAAATTTATAAAGAATAGAAAAACAACTGAGGAGGTAGAAAAAATATATCATTATGATATACCATTACGGGGTATGAACCCTGATAGAATAGCACATGGGTATGATCTATGAGAAAACTCATTTTAACATTTTGACTTTCATAATGATAAGGCTCTGTTATGATAAAGAAATTAATAATTTTGTTTTCCACATATAAAATTTGAAATTCTACCTCCTCTTTTCTCATACAGTGGTCTACCACTATTAGTGACAGTTTTAGGTGGTTGTGAGTGGAAATGGGATTTCTTTTCAAGGGGAAGCATATAGGGTGGTTTGATTTAATTCTACTAATTGCAACTTTACTATTTGGTAATTCAGCTCAATATTTCTCTCCTGTCTACTATAGGAAACAAAACAAAACAAAACACTTTTAGTGTTTACTGGGAAGCAGAGCTATTTCCTACATATATTTTTCACTGATCCAGGTTTTATGTGCTAATTTTTTATATGTTCGGGCTAAAATGGTTTCTCCAAAACAGTGAACTTATCTTGTATGTGCTAAGATTTTATCTAGATTATGCCGAGAGACCCAGATATCTCCTCTGAGTAGGTGACAAACACATTTTCATGTCACACCCTAGACTAGGGTTTTAGGATGCAAAGCTTTAAAAATTCAGCAGCAGAAATGGCATATTGGTTCTTTAACACTTTCTGTAGCCCAAGATATATGAACATGTTTCTTGATGAAGAACTAGCTGTAGATACAAAAACGGTGTCATCCTGGACCTTTTCCTGCACCCTCTGCACTACTCACAGTTGTTTCTATGCCAGAGCAGCCTTCACAATCTTGCTGTAAACCTTAATCACACTGTTGTGAAAGACCTCTGTTTGTTTAACATTTGCCCAGAATCAAGGAATAAAGCATCAGATTACCTGACCAGCTAAACAGGTAAAAATGTACACCTATGAGAGTTTCCTATTTTGATATTTTAATATATATCATGATATGTTTGAAAGTTCATATGCCCAAAATAAACGTTCACAGCTGTACTTTAGGCCATTCTAACCTTACTCATTACATCACTGAAATGAGAAATGATTAACATTATCTTCCTCATATGGAAGACAGTCAAATCACCCCCTTGTACCTTCTCTTTCCTTGAGGGAAGGAAGTGTATTTAACTTTTTCTCATAAGATTTCCTTTACTCACATTTGCCAGGCTTTTCTAGACCTAATCTGGTTCTCCAAATGCAATTATATGTCTGGCAACCCAAATTAAGGGAACATTCCAAATAAGAGTTTAACAATGCCGAGCATTAGAGTATTACAGAACGATACTTCCCTACCTTGTACTGTATAATACAATTCTGTTCATTATATTAACAACTATTTAGGTTGACAACCATGCCATAAGTCTATTTCTTTTTCCCACTTGTCTTGTTTTCCCTTAAGGTTTTTCTGCATTCTGAGTTTAGGCCTTTAAGTTTACTGATGTGCATTTGTCAGTAAATAAGCTTCAGAGTAACCTATACAAGATCTGTCTGAAGATCTTTACACTAAACTTAATTAAATGCATTTTGGAGTCTATATATCTCTTGTAAAAGTAGATTTAACAGTCCCCAAAGAGGCAGAAATGTGTTGGAAATAAATGAACACCTTATTTTTTTTATTGTTGTTGTTTTTATGGTTATCTATATTTGTTTTCCCCTCTAGATTCTGAGTATCATGAGGACAGGAACCATGTACATTATGTATTTTATGTGCTACTTATTTCTAGCACCTGGCATATGGAAGGCATTAAATCTTGTTGAATTAAATGTTATTTCTCTGCTTTGGTGCTTTCTATAGTTTCATCCCATTTCAAACAGAGAAAACATTACTGCTTAGACCCATGAATCCAAGCTTCTGTAAGTCTTCTTTACCTACCTTTATTCTAACATTAAGATAGGGCCAACTTCTCTTGAAAGTGTAGATATAAGACATTGTTAAAAATCTGATAAATACTGCAGTAATCATTGCACCAACATTTATTATTTCAAATGTCATACTGTAGTGCATGTTTTGTTTCTTTACTTAGGGCATATGTGCCTTTCAATATGAATCACTTTCTATTGTCTCAATACCCTGGTTTATTAAAAACAATCTGTTGGGGACTTCCCTCGTGGTGCAGTGGTAAAGAATCCACCTTACAATGCAGGGGATGTGGGTTCGATCCCTGGTCAGGGAACTAAGATCCCACATGCCACGGGACAACTAAGCCCGCAGGCCACAACTACTGAGCTCACATGCCTCAACTAGAGCCCGTGTGCCACAAACTGCAGAGCCCATGTGCTCTGGAACCCATATGCCACAACTACAGAGTCCACGTGCCCTGGAGCATGCCACCACAACTAGAGAAGAGCAAACCCACAGGCCACAACTAGAGAGAAGCCCGTGCACCACAACG